GTTTGAAGCAGCGCAGGCGTGATTCATCTCCGCTCGCTCGGAGGGGCCGCGCTTGCTCGGCCGCCCCGCTTTCTCCACTTTCGGCCTGCGGGGCGGGCCACAGGACGGCCTCGAGAAGAGTGCCGTCGCGCCCTGCGCCCAGGTCTGCCTCTGTTCTTTCGTCGTTGGGCCCGGGGGGATTGCAACCTCACCCACAGGGGCGCGGAGGCATTCGCGCCCCTAGCAAGTCGCAGCTTGGGTTGGAGAGCAGTTCTTTAGGGTTGCTGCGCGAAGGCGCGAAGGTGTTCGCGCGTCCAAGAGACGCCGCGAGGGCACACGTCCGTTCGTGCCTGCTCGGTTCTCGGCTCTCGTGCTCCAGCCAGGCGCGTCTGAGTAATATTCTCCAGTTGCTATTTGGCCCCTGTGTGCACGAGGACGGTGCTTGGTGTGTGGTCTCATCCCGTTATTTCATGGGCGAGAAACACACGAAGAAGCGCACAGAAAAAGGCGCCCGCTCGTGCCTGCAGGGTCTTGGCCCGAGCGAGATTGCATCGGGGCTGCTCTTCAAGAAGCGCGTCGCTCTGCGCGGCATCGCATCGGGGCGCTGAGCTCGTGCGGTCCCCCTCCGCTCGTCGATCTATCCATCCAGCTACCCGTCCTCCATCGTAACCGCCCTCGGCCCCCATCCCTCCCTTCGTACGTCTTCATCTTCCTCCGCACGCTGTCCTCTCCTGCTCCTCGCCATCACTCGCTTCCCAGCGCCCTCGTCCTGCTCCTCTTCCTCCGACGCCCCTCCTCATCATCCTCCTCCGTTGCATCCCGCTCGTATTGACGCTTCTCCTGCGAACTGCGAACTGATGGTCCCGGAGTCCGCGCTCCTCTTCCTGCTCCGCCTCCTCCTCCGCCTCCGCCAGCCTCCCAGGCCCGAGGAAGGACCGTCTCAGGAGGCACGCCAGACCCCCACACTGTTCCGTGTACGGGAACTACCGCGGAGGCCCTCGCCCACCCCTGCCTGGCGGGGGTTGACGCTCCGCTCTCATGTCGTCCCTTCGTATCTTCGGCTTTAACCCTCTACGTGCCACACGGCACAGACTGGAGGACATTATGCAGGAGACGAGGAATTTCGACGTTGTGTTGCTGAGGGGTACCCAACACAGACTCACACACACACACACACGGGGAACCCTGTGATGACGACGAGGAGTGCTGGGAGGTGGGTGGTGGAAGCGCCGACGTCGACGGCTCAGCATGCAAATCGTTCATGCGGGTGTGCGATCGGGTTGGGCCCCATTGTGAAACAGAACAGTCTTGTGCAAACTTGGCCTTTTTCCGGCCACGGCCACAGGGAGGGCTTTGGGGGCCCGTGCTAAATATGACAATGTGGATGTGTGTGCGATTGTGGTGTGCCACCCACCCCAACCCCAGAAGCGGGCGCACAGGGCCCATTATTTTGCGACGTTTGCCATTCTCACGGATTGGCTGTCGGATGTGATCTTGGCCTTACCAGCCCGGTGCATGCCTGTGGTGTACAGCGACTTGAATGACGGTATGGGCACATACCACGATGGCACGAGGTGGCTCCCGCGGGACACCCCAGTCGTAGGGACTCCTAGTCGTGAGAGACTACCGAGAGGGGCGGGGGCACGGCTTCACCAACTTATGGAGACCCACCTTATGTGTGCAGCGAATACGTTCCGCGGAACAGGTCCTGAGCCTACTTTCTTTGGGATGACAGGGAGCTCTCGGATTGATTATCTGTGCGTGCCGCAGGGTTTCAGCAGTCAGATCTGTGTGTGTCGTCCGCATGAGCGTTTTGGCGCGCGTTTACAGGCACTTGGCGGTTGCCCTCCCAGAGACCACTTGCCAATCGTGTGGAGTTTGCGTCGCGACAAACACGAGGCTTACCAGGGAGAGGCGTAGGCGAGACGGGGGAAAGGTGGAATATGGATGCTATGATGCAAGCGGTACGGGGGGGACAGAAACGGGACCGATTTCTGGAACAGGTCAGCGTGGAATTGGACGGTTCCACACACTTGCAATGGATGCGCGATCAGGCTTCGGCCGGTGAGATATTCGAGCATCTGGAGGGGGCAATTGTTAGGGCGGGGCAGGCCTGTCTCGGACCAGTGTCGTGTCAGGCCCCGCGGCGGTCTCTGCGCGTAGGCGGTGGCTACTGGCCCGACGGGCCGACCTCCGAGGGACGAGTCTGAGGGGTTCGTCTGCGGAGGTGGCCTCCCTTGATGAGATGAGGGGCTCAAGCAGTTATCCCATGAGCTGTTTCTGTTGAGACGGTCACAGAAGCGGGGGCGACGTGCGACCTCCCTGCAGGAGGCGAGAGAGCGATGGGGAGGTGGGCGTGTCTCTGAGGGGATGCGGTTAGCCAGGCGTGCGACCAATTGCAGGTACGGAGCCAAGAAGAGGAACGGACGCCTGGCCAGAGGCATGCTCCCGAGTCGAGCCGACTGGCTCGGGGCATGGTCGCTCTCGGGCCCTGAAGGAGGGACGCAAGTACAAGAGTGCACGTGGGACGAGTGGAGGAGCAGCGGGGAGGATCAGGGAGGTGGTTATGGGATTACGGAGTCAGAGGAGACGAAGGAGGTGGCGAAGGAGGACCTACGCGCGATGCGACGACGTGCACGACGATCCCCGAAACGACGCGCCGTCCCCGCGGGCGCGGCCCCCCGCGAATTACGGCAGCAACTACTGCGGCCGAACTACAGGGCACGCCTGCGACGGGGAGCGGGGGCCACGGGGCCAATGCCGAAGACACCCACTTTCTGGTTTCTCCTGGAACTGGGCCTTGACAAAACCCGCGAGCATCGTGAAATTCCATTGCATTGGAACAAATCACGGTGCGTAGGACTGCGCAAATCATTGGTGAAGGGGCCTCGGGGCAAGCGGGTGATCCACGCCCCCCCCCCGCCGCCCCCCCCCACCCCCAAAGTGGGCAAAGCGCATTTTGCGACTGAGCTCCGAGCTGCGCCGGCGGCCCAGGATCGCGGTTTTGCGAGAGGGGGGCGGAGGGAGGACGCCATACTCATTGCCCAAATGACGAGTTGGCGATTACGGAGCATGGGCCATGCCCCTTGCATGCCGTTGACAGATCTCCGCAACGTGTTTTCGAGCTCCTTGTGGACGGAGCTGGATGCGACAGTATCTTTGTGCGCGCTCCCCTGCGATGCCGACTTGCATAGACAACGCTACAGACATGCAGTTGCCGAGTTGGACTTCGCGTGGCGGCCCGATCTGTGCGCGACGCAGATGCGGCGGCATGATGGGGGGGGGGGGGGGGCTGTACGGCGCAGGGCCTCTTGGGAACTGTCGGACGGGCCACGGCGGCACGGGAGCACCACGTCTTTACAGACGGCCGATCGGCCAAAGTTTTAATATCGAGCTGGCAACAAATACCAGTCGATCTTAGCCTATTCAAAAACTCGGACGACCTAAACAAGTTCGCGGTGGTGGATCTTGGGGGCACGGCCTGGGATTTCTTACGTGAGCTGCATGGGGCCTATGAAACGCTGGACGACTATCTTGGGGGATTTCGCTATGGTCAAAACGCTGATAAACAGGAACTGCTTGTCTACTTTTGCGGGTCTGTCTAGGCCTGCGCAGACGATTCAGAGAGAGAGAGAGAGAGGAGAGAGAAAGGAGAGAGAGTGAGAGCTAGATAGAGAGTGAGAGAGAGGAGAGAGGAGAGAGGAGAGGAGAGAGAGAGCGAGAGAGAGAGGGGGGGGAGGAAGGGAGGGAGGAGGAGGGAGGGAGGGAGGGAGGGAGGAGAGAGAGAGAGAGAGAGAGAGAGAGAGAGAGAGAGAGAGAGAGGGAGAGAGAGAGAGAGAGAGAGAGAGAGAGAGAGCTGCTCAGGGGGGCATGCCGCGCAGGGGGAGGGCGCGAGAGCGCGTGCGCTACTTGGGGCCTTTATCTCGCTATGCTGACAATTGGACATCATGTGATCCTACGGCGGTGCGAGGCGGCGCGGCAGGGTTTCTTTCGCTCGGGAGGGGCGCGGTCGGTGGGATTGCCTTTTAAGTGGCGGAGGGAGCTCCTTCAGGGCCTCGTGGGCAATGCGCTCCTCAGTGGGCTTGTTCGTCCTTGTCTGACACCGTCTGATCATTGTGAACTTGGTGGATGCATGTCCGCTCACTGCAGGACAGCGATGTTAGGTGAGGCGCGCGCCGACGCGCAGTCGGGACACAAGGTGAGCATGACCACTCCTCAGGTCCTGCGTTAGTGGCGACTACCTGGGAGTTGGGTCGACCTCCGCATTCGGAGGCCTAAGTGGTATCAGTCGTGGGCGCGGGGGCCTGCGCGGCATACTCAGCCTTTATATGCTAGGTTTGGGGAATTGCGGGGGAAGGGTGATTCAGCGGTGCCACGACTGTTGCACGGTAAGCCGTCGCACGTGGCATCGCCGCGGCCGCGCCAGCTGGAGTGGGGGCGGACCTTTTACGCCGCGGCCCCGATCATGGATGCCAGCTGTCTGAGTGAAGTACTTGAGGATTTCACGATTCTTGCGGGCGTTGAGCGGTCATCCGAATTCACGGCTTTGGACTTTGGGGGGATGCGAGCGGCCTTGTATACAGTGCAAATCCCGCCGCCAACAGACAGGGCCGCGCCTGCAGACGAGGCCGTAAATGCGACGCCACGGGAGGGGGGCAAATGTGAGGGATATGGCGGCGACAGACCATATCGATGCGAGGTGCGGTCGGACGAAGGGGGTCTCTGTGGGGCCAGATTTTGACGAGGACATCTTTCCGCAAACGCATGACCCGACAGCACCGCCTCCATAACCTAGCGCATGTCCTGGCTCCGACGAGCAGTTGCATTGGATGTCGCCAGGTGTTTATGACGCGCATCGCGGCCGCGCGCCATTCGAAGGCGGCGATTCGGGGGGGCCGATGCGACAAGGGACTCCTGGGAGCTACGCCGGGGAGCAATGCGACCTTACGAGAGCCCAGGGCCTTCAGTGCCCGCCATGCTGCTATGCTGCGGGGGACCCCCCCGCCCTCTGCAGCCATCTCCTCAGCCATCTCCCGACGACCTTGAGGCTGGAGCGCCCGCTCCCGGTTGACCGCCGCGCGCGAACCTTCGACAGTGATGTCGCTGCAGATGCCACCGTGGTTCAGCCCCCCGACTCAGGGCGCAGGCGGCGGCGCGGGAGCGGGCGAGGGCGCGGCCGCCAAGAAGGGCAGGAATGGCGACAAGGGCGACAAGGGCGACGTCATGAAGCTGCTGACGGCGATCGGACGCCTGGCGCTGGCGCAGGCTCGCGCGGTGGCGACGTGCATGGTGCCCCTCTCGCGGGGGCTCCCCGCGGCCACGCAGAAGGCGGGTGAAAAGTACGAGGAGGGCAGCAAGGCGATGAGGTCGGCCAGCGCCACGCAGGAGCAGTACAAGCAGCGCGGGCCGCCACGCATCCACGTCTTCTTGGCGGCGTTCCAGCACGTGGCGGAGCGCGCGGCAGTGGCGGGCCAGGACGCGGAGAAGACCAACGCGCTCGAGGCCAAGCAGTGTTGGAAAAACCACATTGCGTCGAGCGACATGGAAAGCATGGCAGAGGCGGTGCTCTACTTCAGGCTTCAGCAGTGCCTCGTCATCACGAACTTCAACAAGGACACGAGACTGGCCTCCATGTGCAGTCCCTACATCACGCAGGTGCTGGACTACGAGGGGGCGACGGCAGTCCACGGCTCGGGCCCCAGAGGCCCCCTCGAGGGGGAGATCGCGAAGATGGTCAATCATGCGAAGTAGACCACTCCGCCCTGGCGATCCGTGCAGGAGGCACGGACAGCCGACGGGGGCAGTTTTTTTTTTCTCGGCAGCTCGGCACGACGGGCGGAGCTGGAGGCGCGAGGCAGCATCAGTGCCGAGACCGCAGCCAAGGCGCGATCGGGAACCGTGCTTGTAAGCAGTTATGCCGACGAAGCTATGTCTGCTGCGCCGCTAGTTTTGACCTGGCCACGGTCGTGGCGCGCCAGGCAGACGCGGTGGGCGCGGAGGACGTGATGGCGGGCGAGGCTCTCGCGCCTGAGTGGGCGCCTCCTGTAGGGGTGCGTGCCTTGGGGAGGTTGCTCGCGGGTCTGTGCCCCAAAAGGGAGCGCAGGCAGGGTTTACGGAGCTAGTTGTTTTCCTCCGCGTTGGGGTGGCTTTACCCCGTCTCAGGACCCATATGCACTCGAGTAGAGTACTTGTCGACAGCTGGGTAGCTTAGTCAGAGCAGGACGGATGTGTATTCCCCGAGGTTTGCTTGCTTGCTCCGCCTCCGCCTCCTCCTCCTCCTCCTCCTCCTCCTCCTGCTCCTCCTCCTCCTCCTCCCATCAGAGGAGGATAGTGGCGAGGAGGATGAGCGCGAAGAGCTGCCTGGAGGGCAACTTCTAGCGGACAGGCATAGGACATTGAAATGCAGTTTGTTCGTTGACAGCTGTCGGCATGTTTGTTCCAGGTGTTTGTGTTGGCCGCAAGGAGATGCATTGTGTTGCTTGGACTATGCTTTTGGACGGCTACTATTGCTCTTGCCCCTTCCTCCTTGTCCCTCTCTTCTAGTCCTCTTATCCCGCACTCCGTGTCCCTCTCCTTCCCCCTTCTCTCCCTCATCCTCTGGCGCCTGCCGCCGCTTGGCCCGCGGATCACTTCGGATGCTGAGGCAGTCAAACTCCTAGCCGTGGGCCCGCACCTTGCACTTGCGTGCGCGTCCTTCCAGGTCCCTCCGGCGCTGGCTTGTTCTGGTGCGGGGGCCCTGGTCATCCAGGCATCGCGATCAAAACCACCACAAGGATACAGTCGGACCGAGGTATAAGATCGAGGTCGGTTCTGGGAGGGTACCCTTGTGTTCTTCGTGCTTGTTGGATGCTCTGATGCATCCTTGGGAGGGTGCCCTGGGGTGCTCTGCGTGTTTTGGCCGGCGGAGGGCCTCATGTTCTTGAGGGGTGTTCTTCTGGTCCAGGTCCGACGATACCTGCGGCATCGGTCGGCATCCGGGGGCCATTCTCGGGCCTGGGGCCGTCCGAAACGGCCCGTGGCGAACGCGACTTCCCCGGGGGGAGGGGGGCCTCGCTCCTCGGGCCCACCGTCGTCGCCCATAGGCTGCGCCGAGCTGGTTTTGCCAGCCCGGAACATATCCCTATCCCTTTGCTGGGCACCTCCTCATTACGATGCCAATGTTAGGGATTGCCTTGTTTTTTGAATGCGAACCCCTAAGGTTGTCATCGCCTTTCGGCGTGCCAATCTTAGGGGTAGGGATACGTTCGAGGCTGGTAATGGTTGCCGTGGAGCAGGAAAGTCCTCGGGGGGATGGAGTCGAGAGCACACGGGGCCCACGTCGCGCGGCGCTCCACGCAGGGCCTCGGCTTGGAGGGGTCGATGGATTACAGGGTTGAACGGGGGCGGCTTTGCTGGCGGAAGGAAGTGCGTGCGGGTAACCCCTGGTAGAAGTCAGCCCTGGCGTTCCCAGGGTTCTCGGAGACGGCCGCGTGTGGGCACAAAACGACGCAGCGGTTTTCAACGAGGGAAGGGCAAGCAACAGGTCTTTTTTTTCCGACCGTTGACAAACCGATCTGGGCTGTTGGACATTCGATGGGCCGTCTTGGGACACGGGCGCAGCCTTGCACGCGGACCTGGGCGACGACAGTGGAGCAGTCATCGGGCGTTGCGTAATGGGGGGGGGTGACGATACACTGCGGGGCGAAGAAAAAGTGCACCTTTTGTGCCCGAAAGGGGCCCCCCCCTTGGGGCCCTTGAAAGGCGCGCGCTTCTCCCCTCCCCATGTATCGCCCCCCCCCCCCAGAAAAGCAACGCCCGAGGTCGATCGGCAACGGTGGCCTCATGCCAAGCCTGGCAGACTTGCCGCAGCGGCCGTGGGGGGGGGGAGCCCCCTCGGCGGCAGGCTCTGGGACACCTGCGCCTCGGCGGGGGGCCGCCTGTGGGAGGCCTCGGAGGGGGTGGGGGCGGGGCGGCGCCGCTGGCCGCGCGAAGGGCACGTCCCGTCGTCGACGTCGTCGTCGTCGTCGGCCGTGGAAAGTCAAAAAATGGGTACAATGCCCAACAGCAGTTCTCGTTCATTTTGAACAGGACTCGCTGCCCACGCCGCCGCAGCCTGTCTCCATTCGAGACAGAAAGCCGCCTGCCCAACCGCGGCCGCTGTTGGTTTGGGACAACATGTGCTGTTGGGCATTTTGCCCATTCTTTCCGTGCCCATTTCGGGCGTCCAAAGAAAGATTGATTCCTCCAATCTTGATGCTTTCTTCTATGCATTTCGGCATACAGGGGTTGCTCTCGGGCTGCCTTCCGGGTCATCAACACTGTCCCCTGGCAAGTGGTCGGGAGCTCCATGGGGCCACGGATGGACAAAACCACATCGTCGGATGTCGGGGGGTGGTATCCGTTATGAAGTTGCGCTGCCGCGCGAACCTGACACCCGCGCGGGCGGGTGCCTCGGGGGGGAGGCTGGGGGGTGGGGCCTTCATGTGTGGCCACAAGACGCCAGGACTTTCTCAAACAAGTGGACGCACGCTAGGCTCGCTGCGCTGAGTGCTCCATGCTGGCTTCGCGAGACAGCAGAGGTGTATAGCAAGAAAGCCTGGGCCAGACACACAGATGTATCTCACCTTTCGGGGCCTGCTGCTCGGGGGGATCTTCGCCGAACCGGCCTGATTCGCTTCAAAGTCCTTGTCAAACAACGCTGACGGACATCTCGGGGCTCGGCCGTGGGTTCTTCGAAGAGCTAGCTTTGGAGGTGTTGAGTTGTACCGGTTGTTTCTCCATCTTTCTGAAAGTCTTGGAGGGGTGAAGCAGAAGGAGGAGGCAGCGAGGGAAGAGGAGGAGGACGACGAGAAGGGGGGATGAGGAGGAGGAGGAGGAGGACAACGAGGAGGAGTAGTAGTATGGGCGCGGTCGAGGGCCAATGGTTGAGACGGAAGAGAAGCGGGGCGGAGGGGGGATATGCAGGATGTAGAGGAAGTGCAGGCGGAGGGGATCAAGGAGAGATGAAGAGGAAGTGTATTGGGAGTCGGAGGAGGAGGATCAGAGAAACAATGGGCAACAGACTGAGGACGTCGACGGCTACGCTGCTCAACCCAGTCGTGTCCTCCCACGTATCTAGCCTGCAATGGAGGTGTCTCCTCGTGCAAGACTGGCAGCATCTCGTACCCGTCCGCAATCTCACGCCGTGACGCCAGCTTCTCTGGCGGGTCGCTCGTCGGCCGATGTCGCAACCACGATGCTTCTCGGCGAGAGGTCGAAGAGCACCGCAAGGCACCACCTTGGGTTTGAAGACATTACCCTGATTTCCTGTCTTTGCCGACCTATGTGTGTGCGTGTGCGTGTGTCAGCCAGCGTGTGCCCCAAGCAGTGTCTGCCTCCCAGCCCCCCGATCCCTATGACGAGAACCAGGATGAGGGCAAGCAGCGGGGGATGGGGACCCCTATCCCCCTCCTGCTCCCCCTCGTGCTCCCCGTCCCCCCTACCGCTCCCCCTTCTCCTGATCCCCCCTCCTCCCTGGTACTATGCCCAGCTTACTCCAAGGCCAGTCCAACGATTGGAGTAATCAGGGGCGTGCTCCTCCCGCGAGCCCGAATCATTTCGGCATGTCTTCTGGCCTACGCGGGGAAGGAAGAGGAGGAGGAGGAGGAGGAGGAGGAGGAGGAGGAGGAGGAGGAGGAAGGAAGAGGATCAGGAGGAGGAGGAGGAGGAGCTGGAAGAGGAGAGGAGGAGGAGGAGGAGGTGGAGGAGGAGGAGGAGGAAGGAGGAAGAGGAGGAGGGAGGGGGAGGAGGATGAGCGAGTATCGGAGGGAGCGGTGCCGCCTCCCCCGCGCCCGCGCGCGCCCCACGCGCAGCGGGCCCTCGCGCCTGCCTCAGCGGGCGCCCGCACGCTCAGCGTGCGCGGCGCGCGACGGCCCCTCGGGCACCGCGCGCCTCCACTCAGCGCCACTGCGTGCTCAGCGGCCGTCGGCCGAGCACCCCCAGCGCGGCTGGGGGTCGTCCAGCAGCCCGTCAGCGGCTCGATGGACACCGCGATCTTGCCCGAGACCGCTGGCGCCAGGTTCTTGCCCAGCCTGGCGATGGCCAGCTTGCCCTTGGCCGAGGCGTGGCCGCAGGGGGCAGCGAAGCTGGCCGCGCGCGCGGAGCCCAGGGCGCCGCAAGCTGCGCAGGCCACGAGCGGCATCTCGCGCGCGAGGTCGGCCTCGCGCAGGGGCCGCAGCAGCACCAGGAAGTGCGCGTCGTGGCCGTCGCCCTTGAGCCGCTCGTTGTGCTGCAGCGCCGCCGCGGTGATCGGGCCTGGGCACTCGCTCGTGCGTTCGACCCACCTGCAGCGGCTGCACCACCTCTTGCCAGGATGCCCTCGCCAGTCGCACGAGAGCTTCGCCGCTGGCTGCGCTGCCACTGCCTTCGGCGCAGGGCGGTTCGGCTTGGCGACACGATGCGTGGTGTCCCTGCCGTCCATGGCGCCGCCCACCGCCGAGACCCACATCATGCCGATGCCCTCGACCAGCTTGTCCGCCATGACGAGGCGCTGCCGATCAGCGTGCTGAATGCGCCCAGCGGCCGCTGCCGACTTGGCAGCTCTGTCGGCGTAGCAGTTGCCCAGCCAGTCCCTTTACGTGATCTTGCCGTGGTCGATGGCCCTCTTGGGCTGGTGGGCGGGCACCTTCCTGACCAGCAGCCCGTCGCACGCTAGGCCGCCGAACTCGCCCAGCAGCCTCCACGCCTCTCTCCAGAGGTGAGCCCAAGCGCCGCCCCATGCGCCGTGGGGCGCTTGGGCCCAAGCTCCAGGAGGCCGCGGTGCACGAAGCCGCTGTCCACGACCACTGTGACTGGCGGCACCGCGAACCCGAGGACCATGATGAGCGCCATGAGCTCGCCACCGTTGATGTCCACGTGTGGCTCGCACAGCCTGCACGACGCCCCGCACAGGAAGACGTCCGCGTCCCGCTCGAGCGCAACGACGGCTCAGGACGCTGGCATACCGCTCGTAGTCGCCCTCGAACTGCGAGCCGTCGAGGAAAAGCTCGCCTGACGGGAAGTACCCGTCACTCTCGCCCAGCCAGCAGATGTGGGGCGACAGGCTGGGCTTCGCGATCCCCATAGGGGCTGGCCACAGCACGCGTTCCAGCAAGCACTTGCTTGACCTCGGGCATGTCGGCCTTCCCCAGCAGCATACTGACCTTGTGAGGCAGGCGCAGCTCGGGCGGCCAACCAGCGCAGCCGCAGTGCCTGTGAAGGAGGGTGCCGACCTCGCCGCACAGCAGGCACGAGTCGTCCACTCCACGGCCATGCCCTGCTCGAGCTTGCGGCTCTGACTCCACTGCCCGTTGGCCACCACCGAGGCGAGGTAGCCGCGCTCCTTGGGTGTGAGCCTGAGCGTTGACTGCTCGCCAGCACCCATGGGACTCGGCCCATGGTCCATCCGCACCACAGTGCCATTCTCCTCACGTGTCGACTGGCGCCAGCACAGCGGCCCCAGGCATTCCGCCAGCCCTCGGCACACCGACGAAAGGTCGCCGAGCACGAGTATCCAGCTCGCCTCGCTGAGGCCCAGCTCCGCCGCACACCTGGGGCCCCGACTTCCCCGCGACCTCCTCCGAAGCGGTCGCGGTCTTGCTGGGCCTGCCTTTCGTGCACAGCTCCTCCGAAGGCGGCCCCGCACTCGACGATTCGGCTGCCTGCTCCCCATGCGGCAGCGACGACCTCCGAGCAGCGGGCTCCGACGACGGCTCCGGGCAGACCGCGGCTGCCAGCGGCGGCACCGGCGCCGCAGCGGCGGCCCCGCGGGCGGCACGTGCAGCACGCCTGCCAGGCACAGCGCTGAACTTTTCCTCCTGGCATCGCTCGGACGTGTGAATTTGTCCTTCGGCGAGGACCATCGAGGAGCATCCTTGATCATTTGGCGAAAAAACCACGCACGACACCGAAAAAAGCTCAGGGAATGGACGTCCGAGCGACGGCCAGTCCTCCGCCTCGATCATGGAGCGCGCGTGCCGCGCCACCTGCTCCTCCCACTCCTGCGCGTCGGACTGGGCCAGCCTGCGCGTGTTGGCGTGGTGGTTGGCCCGAGTGCGTCGCCGTGCTGCCCGCGCCGCCTCGCAGGAGTCCCGCGCCGTCCTGGGCCTGACCAGGCCCATGTTGCCGATGCCGATCGTCCGAGCAGCCTCGTTGACGAGCGGCGTCCACGTACCATGCATCAGCAGGTCGGCCACGTAGGACACGCACAGGCGCAGCCAGTGCGCTCTGTCTCCAGCTTCGTCGAGCACAGAGACGTCCTGGAGCCAGAACGTGGTGTAGGCCCTCAGCCTCCTCTCGAGCATCATGCGCGCCGACACGGCAGCTCGCCGCGCAGGGTCCTGGTCCTTGGCCTCCGTGACTTGCAGCTGTGTCCCGAAGATGCCGTTGCGGCTGACGGCGCCAGTGGTGGTCATCTGAATCAAGGGCTCGAAGACGCCGCCGTTGGCCAGGTGCTCGAGCCCAGTGCCCTTGCTGACCTCACGTCACTGCCATGCTGGCACAGCACGCAACAGGAGACGCCTGACGATCCATGGGGCCAGCTCGAAGACATGGATGTCGACATCTTCATGCGTACGCCAGGTGGTGGCATTGACCACCTGCCAACCGACCCGCTCGAGGGTGAGCCGCACCGCACTGAAGGGCCCACGCACCTGGCTCCAGCTCTGGGCCTGGCAGCAAGTCATACCGTAGTCGATGATGTGCTGGGGAATCCAGCTTTCCCAGGCCGCCCGCAGCAGCATCATGGTGGGCAGGAGCGTGGCTCGGATCATCGGGTCGAGCATGGGCGTCAGCATCAGGGTGAGCGTGCGCGGCCGTCCAGCCACGCTGGGCGCGACCGCCTTGAACGACTCCGTCCGCAGCGTGTCCAGCTCCATGGTGGCGCAGCCAGTGACGGTGACGCAGCAGGTCACGCTGGGCTCGATGCCAGCCCTGGCGACCTTGCGCACAGCCTTCTTGCGCCCTGCCCCTGTCTTGAGGATCGCCACACGGCGTTGACGTAGCCCTGCCTGCACCAGCTTCCCCTGGCGCACCTTGCGCACGATTCGCCTTCCACGCGAGAAGTCAACGCCCAAGTTGCGCTCACTCGTGACCGAGATCACGCCGAGCGGCCGGCGCAGACGGGCAGCCAGTCCATGGCGAGCAGCTGCGAGGTTCGCCAACGCCATTGTTTTCTTGACCGCCACGTCGAGGTCCACGTCCACGAGTAGCGTCTTGAGCTTGAAAGCTGCCTCAGCAACCTCCTTCGTCACCCGGACGAGCCCGCCAACTCGATGGAGCATGAGGTCGTCCACGACCACCGCCAGCGACACGGTCGGGTGCTGGATGACCAGGCGGTCGAGCGGCCCGATCAGGATGAGCTTCAGCAGCGAGGTCGCGAAGCCGTCACCAGGCAGGATGGACTGCCTCGCCTCGATCACGCTCGAGGCAGCGCTGCCCATGCAGAGGACCCTCGGCGCGCAGTATAGCTCAAGCGTCAGCTTGAGCTGCCACAGCGGGAAGCCAGTGGTGATGGCAGCGTCGAGCAGCCAGTGGTGCCGCACCTGCTCGAATGCCTTGAGCAGGTCGAGCAGGACGGCGACCGCCACCCAGGACTCGGCGTCGCCGCTGTCAGCGCCCCGCTGCGTGGCCCACTCTCCGATCGCAGCTTGATGCCATACGGCCCGCTCGCAGCTGCGACCAGCCGTCGCCCACCAGTATGGGCGATCGTTTGCCTCCTCCCACTTGCGGGCGGGGCCACGCCGAAGTCGTGCCTGCACCCTCGCGAGCACCATGATGACGGCGATGGGCCTCACTCCGCCCAGCCGCTTTTGGATGAAGCCGATCTTGGTGTTCATGAGCGGCCAAGCGGCGTCGTGCTCGATCGCCATGAGGATGTCGATGAGGACCTCCAGCGCCTTGTCGCATAGCTCATCAAGCTGACGCGGCCTCACGGCACATAAGGACATAAGGAGGGCAAGGAGGAGAAGGAGAAGGACGAGGAGGAGAAAGAGTAAAAGGTGAAGGAGTACTACTTCTCCACTTCTCCTCTTTCTCTCCTCCTCCTCCTCCTCCTCCTCCTCCTCCTCCTCCTCCTCCTCCTCCCTCCACTCTAGCAGGAGGAGGGCGGGAGAGGAGGAGGAAGGGAGGATCGAGGACGCGGAGAGGGTTCCGGGGGAGCTGCCCTCCCCTCCGAGGTGCTGGACGCGTCGTACTCCCTGGAGGGCGCGGCGCTCTGCGCCTCCAGGAGCGGGGGGGGGGGGCGGTCCCTCTGCTGCTCCGCTCGCGCACCCTCCGTCCGAGTACCCAGCTCTCGGGGGTGGACAGACCTCCTACCCTAACACGTCGATTCGTGAATTGGCCGTTTTCGGTTCGCGAGAGGGCGTCGCGGCCGTCATTTTTGCGGGTCCAGGTCCGTCGGTTTCGGTCCCAGGCCGTTTTCACCAGGGGGAGGTCTACTAAAGAGAGGTTTGTCCATCGCCGAACCCAGCTCAGGGAAGAGCGATGAGCGAAGCGAAGAGCCCCTGGCGGCTGAGCGAAGCGAGGTCGCCAGGGGCGCACTCGTTGTCAATCAAGGTGTTCTCGCCTTTGACGTCGCGGTGAAAGATCTTGTTCTTGTGCGCAATATGCAGAACATCAGCCGCTACCGGACCTTATTTTCCCTCTGTTTAGCGCACTGTTCCTCAGATCACTCAAACACAAACTTAGCATCAATGGCTCGTGCCCAAGAGAAAAATAAGAAACACATTGTCAAATCTTGAAACTGAAAATAGTTCGACCACTTAGCGTCCGTGCCCCTGGATAGCCCGCGCCTCCTCCGTGCCTCAGAGGCGGGCGAGTTGAGACAACGGTAGTTGGCGTTCCGAGGGGGGGGGTCCTCGTCACTGCTGGACGCGGCTCGGAAAACGGGTTCTTTTGGACCCCGGGAGAGGTCTGTGGGTCGATTTTGAACGATTTCGAGTTGGCGTTGTCTCAATTCGCCTTGCTCCGAGTGCCCCTGGTAGTATTGGATTGCCCGCGCCTCGGCGTGCATGGATTGCACGCGCCAGTGCGCTCTAGACGTCCGAGCACCTGGTACAGGGTGCCCGTCGAAGATCGCAGTGGGGCGCAAGCTCGCGCGTCCTTCGACCAGGGTGGGCCTACTGGTCACGCATGCCCCTCGGGACGCCCGGCTCAGGCGTCTGCGCAGATATCTACGCCTTCCACGTTCTGCCCACCCTTTGCGCCGTCCCCCCCCCCCCGCGTCACGGGGATCCCCGCCCGAGCCAACACGGGGGCGCCGACGCGTCCTCTTGACCATCCTCGCCTCCTGGTCCTCCTCCGCGCTGCTTCCGAAACCGCTGCTCCGCCTCCTTCTTCTCGACCTCGTCATCGCACTGTTCCGCACAGTCCGCGTGCTCCTCGTGGTCGGTATCGGTGTGCTCCTCGTCTCCTTCCACCTCCAACCTCTTCGTCACCCTTCATGCTGTTGTCGCCGCCGCCGCCGCTGCTGTTGCTGCTCCTCCCCAACTTCCGCACCCTCTTTACTCCCGTGCTCCAGGGCCTGCGGGCAGCGTGACGTGGAGGCGGTCGTCTGGCAGACCTTCCACCGAGGCTCTGTTGGGATCGGCCTGCATGGGGAAATGGCTCTCCGTTCTCCTGGTCCATTCTTTGTGCTGCACCTCAGATGAGCGCACCACTGCGTTGGAGAGCTTACATGCCAGTAGGGCCACCAGTCCACCAGTGATCCCCCTTCCGCGCTGCACACCCATCATCTCATTCACCGGTCTGTCAAATGAGTCGCTGATTCACCCCGTGCGAAGCATGCTCTCTCCTCAAGATCGTGACCGCATCCTCCAGTGCCTTCGTAGAAATTCTGGCCCTTGTTCATGTTCAGACTCGGGGGCGATGTCGTCGGCGCTTGTTCATATTCCGTCTCGGGGGGCGCTGTCGTCGGATACGGCCCGCCAGCACACCGCCCCAGCCTGGCGACCCTCTCGTCCGGGGGGGCCCTCGCGGCCTTCCCAGTGCCTTCCGCGTGGCCCCGGGCGCGCTGCTGGGCGCGAGCCGCCTGCCGGCTCTGCGCCCCGCGCCCGGGCTCAGAGCCGCCCCAGCCGTCGGACCTCGGCGATCCTCCTCGCCAGGAGGAGGAGGAGGAGGAGGAGGAGGAGGAGGAGGAGGAGGAGGAGGAGGCGGAGGAGGAGCCAGGAGGAGGAGGAGGAGGAGGAGGAGGAGGAGGAGGAGGAGGAGGAGGAGGAGCGAGGAGGAGGAGCGAGGAGGAGCGCTCGGGCTCAGAGCGGCCGAAGTTCGGGGCTCAAGAGACGGGGGTCTATGCAAACGGGGGTCAGCCAGGGCACCAGATCCTGCAGGATCCTGCGAAGGCCCCCTCGGACTGACCCCGGGTCAGCGAGCCGCTCGTGGCTGCGGGGCGGCCGCGCCTGTTGACTGGCCTGGGTCTGCGGAGTTTTGCGCTGCAGTTTTCTTTTCCGGCACTGCGGTTTTTGGTCTCCTGCTGACCCGGGTCTGGCTTGACCCGGGCCAGAGGATCCCCGAGTGAAGTGGCCGGCCGGGCAGGGCCGCAGGTCGCCGACCGGGGGTTATACCCTCCGCTCCTCTGGGCCGCCGGGTGGGGTCGGAGGACGACGCCGCACGACATCGGCGATGTGTCGCGGTGTGGAGCCCGATGTGATCCCCGCCAGCGTCGCCGATGCATCGCCTACGTAGCCGATGCATCGGTGATGCAACGACGATCCCGCGCGTTCCTCCGACGCCACCTGCTCTGACCCCATCCGGGTGGCCTAGCTAGCGTAGCAGCAGATAGCCGGCAGGGCAGCAAGCAGCAAGGCCCTCCTCAGCGACGACGATCTGGTCGCGGGTGCCAGGGACGCAGACCAGGAGGACGATCGCGACAGAGCGGGAGGGGGACGATGTCTTCTCTTCGACCCAGACGGAGACAGCATTTGGAGAGGGCCCAGGGAGGCATAGTTGGTTGGCCGACAACGGGCGGACGACAAGTGCGGCCTCCCAGATACTGTGGGGCCCAGCGCAGAGAATGGAGTCATCGTGTACTTGGTGACCCGTCCAGGGGCCGTACTCATGTTGACCGAGAGCTACTTTCTGCGGAATTGGCCGTACCCCGTCAAGATATTCATTCCCACGATCTGCTCCTACAGTGCATACATGACCCTGTGCAATGACCCTTCCCCTCCTCTTCTTCCCCCTCCGCCTCCCCCACGCCGGGCACGTTGTGAATTATGCAACCGTCGACGCGCCGCCACTCCCGCTAAGCGGCGATGGCTGGCTGGCATTGTCTTCTTTCGCCCACGCGCTCCGGCGTATGGCATGAGTGAGTGAGTGAGCGACAGCCTTCGGAGGTAAGATCCCAGGAGCTACTACGACTCGCCCGACCGAAAGAATGTGAGCGGGACCGCGCAGAAGTTTTTGGGGATCGGTCACAATTAGGAGGTGACGACTTTTGATATTCGATTTCCCGATGTGATCCAACGCGGCCCCGATTGGAAGCCGAAGATGAACACGTGTGCTCAAGCAGTCTCGACAAGCTACAAGCACATGAATCAGTTCTTCACGAAGGTAATTACGAGCATGAATCTCTGTAGCACTATCGGTTCTACCTGCGCGTGGACGCGGACTTTCAGTTCCTCGATTCTCTCCAAAGTGACGCTTTTTGGCTGATGGCGAAGACCGGTCGGAAGCTTGTCTGGCAGACACGGAGACATATCAGCGACCTCGGTTGTGCAGAAGGCCCTTGGGATTGGTTTCAGAAATATCAGCATGACAACGACCTGACCTTTACACTTTCTGGAGGGAATCGGGAGCAACGGTCACTTACGTTAGATACGCGGGCTTGGTAGATTTGGATTTCGTTCCTTCGGAACGCGTTCGCAAGTTGGCAGGGGCCCTGAACGAGGACGGGCGCGTGTATCTGAATAGATGGTCGGACCAGACGTATTACTTTCTCCTGGCCCTGTTCGAGAACCATACCGTTGTCGGCGACGCTGGCTTCTGGTGGACAGAAGACATGTTTTGTCATAAGTGCAAGAAAAGGGGCATGTTTAATCCCATCACGGGGGATGTCCGCTTCAAAAACGGGGCAAGTCTTCCGTGAGAGAGGTATATGCACAAGTTGTTATTGCCATACACACCTCCATTGGGGCGGTCAGTGGTAAGACATGTGGGGCTCGCCTATTCATTATTGTTGAGGTGAACATGCTTTAGCGCACTCTTGCAGCCGAGCTGTTCTAGCGAACGAGTTGTTATTCTAACTCCTAGGTGATTACCTTCTTAAGACAACAATGCATACCGTCATGTTGTTTCATTTCATGCCCCTTCCTGTCACCCTTGCTACCCCCTAACTTCCCCGCATTCCTCTCCGCGCCGCTCACAGCCAGCCAAAGGCCAGCAGCCAACCACATACGCGGGAAAGTCATTACAACGGGATCGTTTCTCCCCTCGAGCATTATGCTTCAGTTTCGCAACGAGTTGGCAAACCCTAAGAACAAAGCAACCTTCTTCACCTTGGCCTGCGTTCCTCTAGGACAGGTTGAATGAAGCCGAATCGGTATCGGCAACGCCTCGCATCGAGTTCGAGGGATATATGTTGGCTGATCTTTGGTTCGGCCCCGCGAGGCGAACGTAAACAAACAGTGCCGATCTATCAGTGCCCCCACAGGGAACTCTTTTGCTTCTTATTCGGGCGTATTAGCCACATTTGTCACGTCAGTGGTCTTGGCGAACTCATCGATTTCAATACCTCTGTTGTTTGCCAGGGCGAAGGGGAGCAAGCCACCTCTTGTGGTATGTTCCACTCACGTCCGAAAGCACAACGCGGCCCGTCAATGACTCCTGATATGCGTGTAGCTCTCTTGTGCATCAAGATGTTTCCACAACCTTTTTTTCCGAGTTGAGTCCTCCGCCCTCTTGTTTAAATTCATCTTGCTGTGTCTACTCCTGAGGCGGTCTCGACCCAACTCCTCCTCAACGCTGCTAACCCTATCCCGTCCTATCTCCGCAGGAGGAGGACGAGGAGTAATGCGGAGGCGGTGTAAGGGGAGGAGTCGAATTAGCCAGGTCGAGCGAGTCAGAGGGCCCCGCCTACTCCCACCCTCCCTCTCGCAACATCAGAACCAAGTGTGTCGCAGCAAACGGAAGGCGCGCGCGCGCGGTCCCGCTTCCGACGACTTGGCGGCGGGCACGCTGCGCGTGCCGCGCAGGGGCGGGACTGCAGAACCTCCGGAGGGCACGGCGAAGAGGGAGCATGCGCCGAGCTGGCACGGCACTGCCACTTTCAACCACAGGCTGCGCGGCGCCCGGGCGAGGACGGCATGTCGCCGGCTCTCGCGCGGCCCCGCGGCCGCCGTCGTCGGCAGGCGATGCGGCGAGCGCAACAGGTGACGCGCCCGCGCGGGACACCACTTCCGAGCGAACTGCGCACGGAGCTTTTGGGCGAAGGCGACGCGTCGCCCGCTCGCGCGGGGCCCCCGGAATGTGGCGAGTGACAAAAAGGCCTCCGCGTCGGGGCGGGGGCGCCACTTTTCAGGGCGAGTCTGCGCGGCGCCACGGCGAGAGCTACGCTGTCGGCCGCTCGCGCGTCGACGGAGCGGCGTGCGGAAAGTGTGCACCGCGACCCAGCGGGGGCCCAAGTCGCAAGGAGAGTGAGCGCGACGCCGTGGCGAGAGCGGCACGTCGGCCTCTTCGCGCGGCATTTCGGCTCCCCGTCCCACTCCTGCCGCGCATTTTGCAGTACAGGGTCCGGCTTGAATAAGGAACACCAGCTTTTCAAAAGGGGCTCGGTCGTTCCTTTGGTTTGCATGCGTTCCGCTACCTTCTTGGCGGCGAACCCCTCTGGCGTTCCTTCGAACTTAATAGACTTACTTGGAAAAAAGGGGCTTCGTTCCTTATTGATCGTTCCTTAGGTCAGGCCGAATACTGTAGGGACGGCATACGATCCACGTTGAGGCGAGTATCGTTGAGTTTGTGTTTTTACTTGCAGGGAGGATGATGGGACCACCCCGATTGGGCGGTCATGGGGCAGCCTTAGGCGGCAGGGTAAGGGGATGTGCATATGATAATAAAGAACAACATATGAGTCCGGAGGAGGACGAGGAAGAGGAGCAAGGAAGAGGAGCAGCAGGAGGAGGTACGAGGAGGTCGAAGAGGGATGAAGAAGAGAAACAATTGCAGCAGGAGGAGGGCGAGGAGTCGGATGACAAGGGACCATGCGCAGGAGGAGTAAGAGGGCTGGCCGGTATCCTTTAGTTTCCTTGCCCTCTCCCTTGGGGAGTACAGAGGATGCGCAGGGCGCGCGGAGGAGGCAGGACGTAGGAGGCAGGATAAAGAGGATGAGAGAGCATGGGGAGGAGAAGGAGGAGAAGGAGGAGGAGGAGGAGGAGACGCAGGATGAGGATGATAGAGGAGGGAGGAGGCTAAGGAGGAAACTTGATGAGGATGACGGAAGAGAGAGGAGGCAAATGAGGAAACATGATGACTATGATGGAGAAGGATGCGGAACAGGAGGAGAAGGAGGAGAAGGAGGAGACGGAGGACGGATGAGGATTCAGGAGGATGGATGGAGGAGGAGGAGGAGAGGAGGGTGGATGATAAGAGGGAACAGGAGGAGGAGGAGTAGGAGGAGGAGGAGGAGGAGGAGGAGGAGGAGGAGCAGGACAAGAGCACAGCATAACCAAAGCAAGTAGGACTGGATTGGCCGACGCCTCAACGTTCGGCCAGACGGGAACGGGGGAGAAATCAATGGGTGGTGAGGAATGGTGCACCTTTTCCATCACCCTTTAGGACAGGGGTTGGCAGTTCAGGGGCCCGTTAGGGTCACGTTCCTCACACCAGTTGCCCCCGCCTTCATTGCCCACCGTCAACTTCCGCCCGAGGGGGAGGGGCGGTTCCTCGGCAGGGACTAGAGTAGGGTCTTCCTCTTCTTCCCCCCCAGCCCTATTCCTCCTCCCTCCTCCCCCCTCCTCCTCCTCCTCCCTCCCCTCACCCTCCTCTCTCCTCGCTCGTCGCGCAGCAGTCCGCGGCTGGGCGCGACGCTGTGTGGTTTCAAAGGTTCGAGAGGCAGAGCGGGCTTGGTCCTGTGAGCAGCTGGCCCTCCTGAACGACGAGGTGCTGGTCCCACTTGCAGAGCTGCTCCCGTTGCACTACCGCCTGGCCAGGGGCCTTTCGCTGGGCCCTCTGGGGAAACAGCATGCGGCGCTTCCACCAGGCGCGGTGCGTGGCCCAGATCACGGCCGCGGTGCCGGTCGAAGTCTGGGGCCTCTCTGCGTGTCGCTTGCCAGAGGTGCGCCCTCTGAGTTGCAGTCGGCAAGTGGAGTTGCAGCACTTGCTGGTGGAGTCCCCTTTCACCGAGGCCTGGCGCTCCGTGGCACCTGATCGAGTGGAACATCTCAGCTGCCGTGCTTCCTTGGGCGCTGTCGGACGCCGCGGACATCTCTTAGATCGCGGCGAAGAGCCGGTATGCGGGCCTGGCGAGCGCGGCCTTGGTCCACGCTTGTGGGGCGCTCCGATGAAAATGCGCCGCGTGGCCTTCCTCCTCCCCCTCCTCCTCGCTCCCCCTCCCAGGACCTCTCGGGGCGCCGAGTTCCGCGGTCTTGCGGGAATCGACCTCGCAGGGCCAGATGCGTGTGCATGTGCCGTGCAGCCCGGGACGCTTCGGGCTGGGGACGCCTCCCTCTCACTGTGCTGGGAGCGTGGCGGCCTCAGGGGCCCCAGGACCGCCAGAGGCGCCGCCAGGGGACGCCAGACACCCATATGAAAAGCTGAACGCTTCGCTGGCGAGTCGTCCGGCATTTCACGCGGGCTTTCAGGGCGATTCTTCGGCGGCCCCGTACCCCCCGGCCGTCCTGAACAGTTCCAAAGCCTCCGTGGCACCCAGTGTGCCGCGGCCTCGCCAGCTGGAGGCGGCTCCGACATGCGCCCGAAGGGGCACTACGGGAAGGTGTTCTGCACGGCGCGCCCACACTGGACGGGTGGGTGGCTGCGCTGCTGGCTGCCAGTGTGAAGCCGCGTGCCCCGTGCGTGCCCCGCGCGTGCAACAGTCGAGCGGGCCCCAGTGGGCAGTCCTCCAGGGCGCCCTTTCGGGATGCCACCCCTCAACCTGTTTCGCTGGCCAGTAGGCCCTCCGAGGCGGTTGGCGCTCGCAATGGGGTGGACCTGCCCTGAGGGCTCCCCCCCCTGCTACACGCAGTCCAAGCACGCTGTCCTCCCTCCTCCCTCCTTCTCCTCTCTCCGCCCCTGTCCTCCTCCCGGCCGGCGGTCCGCGCGCGGCGGCGGGCCATCGGCGGCGCGGCGGCGGTCCCCACGAGGCTCGGAGGCGGTGGCGCTGGAGCTCGGGCACTGGCGCCAGTTGCGGCTGGACCTCGTCCTGGCCGGCTTCGAGAAGTGCGCGCGGCTTCCTCCTCCTGCTCTTCCTACGCCTGCTCCTCCTCCTCCTTCTCTTCCTCCTCCTCCTCCTCCTCCTCCTCCTCCTCCTCCTCCTCCCCTTTGTTTCCATCCTCTTCTCCTCTCCTCCTCCTCCTCCTCCTCCTCCTCCTCCTCCTCTTCCTCCTCCTCCTCCTCCTCCTCATCCTCCTCCTCCTCCTCCTCAGCCATCATGTGGGCACGGAGGGATTAGGAGGAGAGCGCCTGTCGAGTATGCTGGAATCTCTGAACCTGAAGGCATCCTGCACATACTCTCCTCGGGGAGGCCCTACTTACTACGGCACAGGCGGGCACAACACGAACATTGATATGTTCATCGTACCTCGGGGACTGGGCCCTGGCACTAGGCAATATCGAGTAGCTTGGCGCAGCGGTCGTGGATTGCGTTTCATCCCCAGCGCACGTCCACGAGATCCCATGCCTGTGCTGCTTGAGTTCTCGTACAGACTACCGTCGTTTGTGCCTGACCCTAAGTATTTCATGTGGGAGTTTCAGAAACTGTCGGACATGTTACTGCCTGGGGTACGTTGTGTTGACCTGTATCGAGATCTAGACAGGGCTTTTGAGACATCGACCGATCTTTTCGAGTCGTTCCGCCAGGATGGGCACACTGATCGGCAGGCAAACTGACCAATGTATTCAAGTCGTCCAGACCGTCGCACGCAAGCACTTCACTTTACATTCCGAAGCCTTCACACGATGTGTTTAGAGTGTTGCGTCGTGAACGCCTCCGTATTGTCAAGGAGCGTCGGCACCATCGATGTGCAGCTCATCAGCAGCGGGGATGTATGGCCAACTGCCTGAGTATGATGACACATGACACATATCTAGAACATTGCCCACATATTAAATGTATTTGCTATGCGCTACGTTGGTTAGTTCCCCGCACACTTGCTCGGAGGCGTGAAGAATTGGTGGAGGCACTTCGGGACGCACGCCAGCTAGGCCACCACGCTGCGGTGCATCGCTTCGCTATGGCCCTAGCAGGACGCCCAACTGGCGTGAATAATCCTAAATACAATCGCGGTGCGGGCGTCATGACTGTCTTTGAAGAGGTGGAGGATTCGCTCCGTGCTGCGGGTTTTGACGCTGGCGCGGAAGCCACTTCTCTGTCTGATTCGCGCACGTAGATAGCCGAGTTCTTGGCGGTTCCCCCTCTTGCAGGCGCCTCCAGCAAACATGGAATGCGTTCCAGATGTATCGGTATTGTTGAAGCCTCGGAGGGCTAAGAAGCGGCGGGCCAGTCAGTTGGAGTGCGAGATCGCCCCGATGGTCTCGGGCCCTGGGCATTTATCACGACCTCGTTGGATACGTGTCGGGGTCGGGTCCGACGGACTGGGACATGTGGGAAAGTAAACCGTGCTGCCTCGTCGTCTTATCTACTTGGCGCCTGGCGTGAGTTCACTGAAGTTGCCATCCATGCCCAACAAGTTGAGCAACTCCCCGGCGTGGGACCAGAGCTGACCCGGGGAGCCCTGCCGTGGCGACGAGACAGCAGCCTCCCGGAGGCCCCAACGAGAACGAAGGGCCCTCGAACATCTCTACTCTCGATGCTCCCTCCTTCGGGTTGACCCCAAAGGGGGTCCAGCGACAAGGGGGTGGTGCAATAGATTTGGTGCAATAGATTTGTGGGGTTGCAATACATTTGGGGCGTGCAACACATTCCAGGGCGCAAATGTATTGCTGAATTTTCGCGAGCAATGCATGATTTGCAATGCAATGCAATCCAATTTTCCGGCGCAATGCGTTTGCAAAACAATTGCCACAAATCTATTGCACCACCCCGTTTCAGTTGGACCCGCTTTTAGTCCTGCCTCCCTCTGACCTCTGAGGGGCCACTCGGACCCTTCGTGGCTCGCACTTCGTGCCTCCCCTCTTGCGTCGTGGATCGTTCCGTCGGGCCCTCGCGGCCCCTCGCTCGCTCACGGGCCCCTCTCTGCCGCTCGGTTTTCCCGGATTCGGGTCAGCGGACCGGGGCCGATCCGCATGCGTCTGGGCCTTCCAGATGGGGTCGGAGCAGATGGGGTCGAAGGATCACGTCGACGTCGCCGATGCATCGCCCACGTCGGCGAGGCGAGATCCCCCTACAGTCGGGGCGCTGAATTAGGAACCCTTTTCGTTGGGGAGGGGCTCCGTGTTCCTTGATTGTTTCACAGCTTGGCCTAGGTTTTCCTCAGGTTTTCGATGGGAAATCGAACCTTCACTGATGGGAAAAAGGGGCCTCGTTCCTTATTTAGGATTCCTTAGGTCAACGTCCCGACTGTACCCCATCTACTCCAACCCCATCTGGGAGGCTTCTGGCGTCGCATTCCGCACTCCGACCCCGGAGGGTGCGGCAGGTCATCGCTACCATCCTCGGAGCGCCCTGTGGCAAGGGGGGAGGAGAAGGAGGGGGAGGGGGAGGGAGGGGGAGGGGGAGGGAGGGGGAGGGGGAGGGGGAGGGAGGGGGAGGGAGGGGAGAGGGGGGAGGGGGAGGGAGGGGAGGGGGGAGGGAGGTCCTCGCTGCCACACCTGCGCCATCCAAAAGCCCCCGGACGGGGCGAGGCGTCCCAGGCGGCGCTTGGGCGCGCGCGTGCACGGCCGCGTCAACGCATGCGGATGGTGCGGTTCCCAAGGGCGCCTTCGAGGGCGCGAAGTTCTTCGCGCTTCGCGCTTCGGCTCCGATTCCTCCTCATCCTCCTCTTCTCCCTCGGGAGGCGGCGCGAGACCGCGAAGTCATTCGCACTTCGCGTTTCGCGCAGCGCCAAAGCGCGAACTCGGGAGCCCTTTGGTTCCGGCCCCCGGCAGGTGCGGGACCTCCTCGGTGTCGCACAACCTCGCGAGGCACCCGCAGGCCGGCGCAGGGGCCCCCCAGGGGCGGCCGCCGCACGCGTGCGGCCCGGCCCCTGGTGCGGCTGGCGCCTCCTCCTGCCGCACAGGGGATCGAGGTTCGACACCCAGAGGCCTCGGACCTCGGACTTCGATCGTCTGTTACGCGTGGATTCCCACGGGGGTCCCCGACGGGGCCTCGCCTGCGAGGATCGCAGGCGTCGACATCTCGTCCTCGGCGGCGGAGAGAAGTCGGGGGCAGCTCCGCGGGCGGAAGTTGTGGGAGGATTGACCGAAGCCAGCGGAAGTAAAGGATGTCCACCGAAGAGATGGCAGCAGTTTTGAGCCCAGGGCTTCCACAATACGCCATACAGTGGAGGCTCATGCCAAGAAACACCCTGCTTGCCTCCAGGGGGCCCCAGGTTTCTTGGGTTTCGATGGTTTCGCAATGGAAAGCGTGACGTTCCCACACCAAACATCAGTGGAGTTTCTTGTGGAAGGTTTCTCAGGGTCTCGGGGTTGAGTTTCTTGGGGAAGGTTGCTTGCGGTCGGCCCCCCATTGTATGATATGTCGATCAGCCTTTACCACGTTCCTTGATGCGGGCCCATATGCAGGCGAAGCCGAGCGTTATTGGCACTTGTTGTCGGCGGGTATGAGTGTCAGTGAAAACGTCATGGGTCCTGGGTGACGAATGGATCACGGGTGTGAGTGGATCTGAGTATGAGTGAATCTTCCAGGGTTCGACCTAAACGGTGTTGTTGTGATTTCGTTGACCTTTGACCGTTTTCGTGTTGAATATGTTTGCAGCAACGGCCGAACGAAGACAGAACGAGGGAAAGCGAACACAAAACGAACACGGAAGACATGGTTGAGGTCGATCCTTGAAATCTTCTGTGCACTGCATGCACGGGGCGGTCTGGCTGCCCTGCTCAAAGGAGGAGAGTATCCTGACCATCTCAGGGCTGCGATGGCGGCCATCGTCCTCCTTGAGAGGCAGCCCCCCAGTGCCGTGGCTGCTGCGTCGCAGGGACCTTTGGGCTCTGCTGAGACCCGTCCGTGGGGCCAAAGCGGGCGTTTCGCGCGAGAGGCCCAGGCCATCTGGGCACGAACGGCCCTCCCCGGGAGGCCCACGTGCCATGCCGGCCACATCGCGGTGGCCATGGGCTCTGAGAGTAGATGGGCGCGTTGGGCCAGAGCCGCCCCCTGGGACACCACTGGGAGAGACAGCTGCTGAGACCAACTGCATTACGTACTTGCACGTGTTATAGTGTTCCCTCCCTTCAGGTGGCACAACCGCGTCGCGTCGTGCACTAGCAGGAGACGCAAACGCAACGCACACACACACAAGACAGACGCGAAGCAACCGAATTGTTTCGCACGACGGCCCTCCTCTTGCTCCCCCTTCCTCCTCCCTTCTGCTCCTCGTCACTCCGCCACCATTATCCTCTCTTGCTGCTACTCCCCTTCCTCCTGTCTCAACTGGATGGGTAGGTTGATTCTCGCCAGAGTAGCGGGGAGGCCCGTTGATTCGAAGCCTTGGCTGTAACGCCGATGCATTTCCAGCGAGAGCTGGTCGGGTCACTTCAGGGGCAGTCCTCCAAAGTAGGGTCGTCTTTGATCGATCGATGTGTGTGCGTGTCCCTGCCTGCCACATAGCACTAAGTGCAGTACGGTGTCACACACGCCCTTGCTGTGCTCACGTGGCGCTGACAGTTTAAGCATCATGTTCTGACGAGGCCCCAGAGTTGGCAACGTTAACCGCGTACTGAAACAGGCGCTTGCCTGAGAGAGCAAGAGCGCTTCGCGCGACTGTTGTCGGAGTTGGTCCTGCTGATCGGCAGAGCCCAGCGGAGTTCACGTTGACGTATTTGTTTTCGCCGCCTCCTACGGCGAGCCTCGAGGAGGTTTCTTTGAAATCTTCGAGATCTTTAATGTGCGGCGGGTGCAGTTCCGAGAAGCATCGAAGGACACTGTCTTCCAGTTTGTCTTCGCCTGGCAGTTGTTCTGGCTTCACTTCCCCCCCCGGCTTTGCCGAGCGCGTAATCACACACATGTTGCCCAGTCCTGGTCGTACACCTCGTCGTATTCGATCCCGACGTCGCCCGCTGCGCCGGCGGAGTCGTCGACGCTGGCATCGACGCGCTCAGGGTCCGGCGCCGCGTAGCCCGAGTCGGCACTCACCGACGCGGCAGAGCCGCAGGCGCGCGTTCTCCGCGCGGAGCTCGGCCACCTCGGACCGCATCCGGCGCAGCGCCCTACGTGCTCTCGTGCGCGTCGCCGCCGGCAGCGAGTCCGCGGCTGTCCGCGCCAGAAAGTGTCGTGCTCCTCGGGCTTGGCATCGCTCGGACGTGTGCATTTTTCCTTCGGCGAGGACCATCGAGGAGCATCCTGGATCATTTGGCGAAAAAGCCACACGAAACCGAAAAAAGCACAGGGAATGGACGTCCGAGCGATGGCCAGGCAAGCCACAAAGGCCAGCGCGGGAGGTGCAGCAGTGGGCGCGCACGCTGCGGCCGCACGCCTGGCAGCCCACCGCGGGCCCCCGCAACACGTCGCCGCAGCAGTGGCACGATCTCACCGGCTGCGTCCCCGAACCCGAAGGAGATGCATTTGGGCTCATAACCCTTGTGGGCACCAGCGGATGCTGGTCCATCAGCGGGTGCGCATACATCACATGATTATTCATCGCTGATCTCGGACTCCACGTCGCTCTCCAGACAGCTCTTGGCGACGGCAGTCAGGTAGTCTTCCAGCTCGGCCCGTGAGGCCGGAAAAAGCCAGAAAGGGCCCCAGTGGGGCCTCCGTCGGACCCCGAGGGCCGCTCTCAGAAGGTAAACGGCCGCCTCGGCGAGCCGCAACTCCCAAGATGAGATTATCACGGCCAGGCTGCGGCCGCCACGCTTGGTGCGGCCACGGCCACCATGCGAGGATGTAGGGGGGGTATGGTTTTTCCCCACATGTTTCGTGGGGTTCTGGTTTTCTTCCCTGCCGCGGCGCACCCGCGTCTCCTCCTCACGCGCGCCGCGCCCGCGTTTCTTCCCACCCGCGCCGCACCCGCGTCTCACCCACACCCGCCCTCCTCCCCTCCTCCACCTCCTCCTCCTCGTCCTCCTCCTCCTCCTCCTCACGCACACAGCGCAGCACAGCACAGCACTGCTCAGCACAGCTCAGCTCAGCTCAGCACAGCACAGCACAGCACAGCACAGCACAGCACAGCACAGCACACCAAAGCACACACAACACAGGCAGATCGTGGCAGGAGTGGCACTTTCTCGACACCACAGGGGGTGCGCAGAGGGTGGTCCCTCAGCGCGGCCTCTATCCGTGACGCGCTCGCAGATCGTTGCAGGAGTGGCACTTTCTCGACACCACAGGGGGTGCGCAGAGGGTGGTCCCTCAGCGCGGCCTCTATCCGTGACACGCTCGCAGATCGTGGCAGGAGTGGCACTTTCTCGACACCACAGGGGGGGCGCAGAGGGTGGTCCCTCAGCGCGGCCTCTATCCGTGACACGCTCGCAGATCGTGGCAGGAGTGGCACTTTCTCGACACCACAGGGGTGCGCAGAGGGTGGTCCCTCAGCGCGGCCTCTATCCGTGACACGCTCGCAGATCGTGGCAGGAGTGGCACTTTCTCGACACCACAGGGGGTGCGCAGAGGGTGGTCCCTCAGCGCGGCCTCTATCCGTGACACGCTCGCAGATCGTGGCAGGAGTGGCACTTTCTCGACACCACAGGGGGTGCGCAGAGGGTGGTCCCTCAGCGCGGCCTCTATCCGTGACACGCTCGCAGATCGTGGCAGGAGTGGCACTTTCTCGACACCACAGGGGGTGCGCAGAGGGTGGTCCCTCAGCGCGGCCTCTATCCGTGACACGCTCGCAGATCGTGGCAGGAGTGGCACTTTCTCGACACCACAGGGGGTGCGCAGAGGGTGGTCCCTCAGCGCGGCCTCTATCCGCACACGCTCGCAGATCATGCAGGCGTGGCACTTTCTCGACGTCCACAGGGGGTGCGCAGAGGGTGGTCCCTCACCGCGGCCGCTATGCTTGACGGTCGTCCAGGGCATAGCAGGCGTGGCACTTTCTCGACACCATAGAGGCTGCGCAGGGGGTGGTCCCTCACCGCGGCCGCTATGCACGACGGTCGTCCAGGGCATAGCAGGCGTGGCACTTTCTCGACACCATAGAGGGTGCGCAGGGGGTGGTCCCTCACCGCGGCCGCTGGCTGGCTCGAATCTGTCCTCGATGGAGGATAGAAGGCTAGGAAGAGGGAGGAGGTTCAAGCAATATGGCGTTGGATGACACATAAGGGAACATTCGCGACGAGGGCTGAGAACGCAGAATTGTGTATATATATTATGAACTTAAGCAAACACACAATATTTAAATCAAGTATGTGGGGTTCCTCAGTAGCGTAATTGTTCCTTCCACCCGTCACTTGAGCCAAAGTGCCTCCGAAAGTTACGCAGGGGACCGTTTCGCATGCAAGCGTGGTGTCGCACCGCATTTGGATTGATCCCCGATCCCAGGTTCATGCAGGCGTGGGGTCGCACCACATTCCCTTGAGAGCCGCACACACTATTAAGCTACACTGCTGTTGATTCCTATACCCAGCTGGTGCAAGCTACGTGGTGCAAGTTATCGTGTCTGGCTGCATTCGTTCGCTGTCTCCTCCGGCGTACGGGCGTCCAGACCGTTACGCCCCAAGCTGCATGAATTCACTCTAAATGGTCCCTCGGGGTTGCCCGGGGCATATTCCACAGGAAACTCAAGGCGCAACGAAAGTGTCACGAACTTCGCTGTCAGGGCTGCCCGGGGCATACATACGGTGTGGTCGGGCACAGCTTTGCAGACCACCCTCACACACGGATTGAAGGGGGCGGGTTTGAACCCCCCCCCCTCGTCCCGTGACGGGAGGTGGGTGGTTCGAACCCCCCCCCCTCGTTTCTCTTTTCTCTCTCTCCTCGGGCCGTCGCCGGCGTCAGCGGCGGCTGGCGGCGGCGGCGGAGAGCGTCGACGAGGAGGCGGTGGCTGTGGTGGTGGTGGTTGTGTGGAGGTTTGTGGTGGTAATGGTGGTGGGTTGTGCTGGTGGTAGTGGTGGTGGTGGTGGTGGCGGTAGTGGTGGTGGCGCGGTGGTTAGTGCTGGGGCTGGTGCTGGTGCTGGGTGGTGGGTGGTGGTGGTGGTGGTGGTGGTGGTGGTGGTGGTGGTGGTGGTGGTGGTGGTGGTGGTGGTGGTGGTGGTGTCGGTGGTGGTTGTGGTGGTGGTGGTGGTGGTGGGTTGAAGTAGTGGTCGGTTGTGGTACCGGTGGTGGTGGTGTTTTGTGGTGGTCGTGTGGTGGTTTGCGGTGGTGGTGGTGGTTGTGGTGGGGTCGTGGTAGACGTCGACGACGTCCACGTCGACGTGGTAGGTTGTGGTGGTGGTGGAGGTGGTAGTTGTGGCGCCGGTGGTGGTGGTGGTAGTGTGGTGGTTTGTGGTGGTTGTGTGGTGGTTTGTGGTGGTGGTGGTGTGGAAGTTAGTGGTGGTGGTGGTGAGTTGTGGTGGGGGTAGTGGTGGTGGTGGTTGTGGCGGTGGTGGTGGTGTCTTGTGTGGTGGTGGTGATGGCAGTAGTGGTGGTGGGTTTTTGTGGTAGAGGTGTTGGTGGGTTGTTGTGGTGGTGGTGGCTTTGGTGGTGGTGGTTGTGTGATGGTGGTTGTTTGGTGGTTTGTGGTGGAGGTGGTGGTGGTGGGTTGTGGTGGCGGTGGTGGTGGTAGTGGTAATGGTGGTGGCGATGTTGGTGGTTGTATGGTTGTGGTGGAGGTGCTGCTGCTGCTGGTGGTTGTGCTGGTGGTGGTAGTTTGTGGTGGTTTGTGGCGTTGGTGGTGGCGGTGATGGTTGTGGTGGTGTTGGCGGTGTGGTGCTTTGTGGTGGTGGTGGTGGTGTGGTGGTGGTGGGCTGTGGTGGTGGTGGTGGGTTGTGGTGCCTGTTGTGGTGGGTCGTGGTGGTAGTGATGGTGTGGTGGTTTGTGGTGGTGGTGGTTGTGGTGGGTTGTGGTGGGTTGTGATGGGTGGTGATGGTGGTGATGGCGGTGGTGGTGGTGTAGAGGTTTGTGGTGGTGGTGGCGGCTGTGGTGATGGTGGGTTGTGTTGGTTGTGGTGGTAGTGGTGGCGGCGGTGGTGGTGGTTGTGTGGTAGTTTCTGGTGGTTTGTGGTGGTGGTGGTGTAGCGTTCGGATCTTTCCGCCACTGTCCCCTTGCATTGGGTCAGAGTGCTACTGGATGCACTCTTAGGTCTCGTCAGAGGTGTCTCAGGGGCGTCTGAGGCTGAGGAGCGTGTGTGAGGCCTCCCGTGCGTTTTTTGTGGGTCTCCTGGACCTTCCCAAGAGCATCCCGGTGGCTTTTGGGGGGCGAGGGCTCGATATGGCGACTCGTGTTCTCCCGCTGCGGCCTCTGGGCCCTCTCTGGTCATCGTCGCTGCGTGCCCACCGTCGGCGCTGCTGGCCGCCGCCAGCGCAGGCGCCCGCGCCGGCGCCGGGGGAGGGAGGGGGGGGGAGGGGGTTCGAACCCCACCCCACCCGGGGAGCCGGAAGAGACAGAGTTGGGGGAGTTAGAATCCCCCAGTCTCCTTTCCGGGGGGGTGGTCGGGGAGGGGGTGGTTAGGGAGGCGGGGAGTCCCCCGGGTTCTGCTCGACGGCGCCGAATGATGGGGGGCCCCGCCCCTGGTTCGAAACGCGCCGCCGAATGTTCCCAAAGCAAGCGCCCGTGAAACGTGCTCTCTTCAAACACATCGACCAACGATGTGCGTTCAATGATGTTGTTCGCAGCATTGCAAGCCATCTTGGGCTGTCTGAGACCATATTGGAGTCATTTGCGGCTGCCTTGGACGTGATAGCGCGTCGTGACCCCCCCGTCCAGACCCTCAAAGAAAATGAGTAGAGGGAGTATTGACGTCCACCTACGCCCCGAGGGCTGGTGAGACTCGCAGAGTCCTTTTCCTCTCTTCCGAAGGTCTTTGAGGTCTCTGGAGGTTCCAGGAGGCTTCCGGAGACGGCCGTCATAGCCAAAAAGCTTCGATCATCGATTCTCCCTCCCCATCCTCCCCTTTGCTCCCTCTTCTCGCCTCATCCGCCCTTCCCCACCTTTTCCTGCCCCAGGTCGAGTTTGTGCCCCCGCCGTCGCGGGACCCGCGCGTCAACGTCGACAACCAGAGTGTTCAGGAGTCGCCGGCGGGAGCAGAAACCCGACCCAGGCTGACGTGAGAAGATTGGGCTGGCCAGCTGGCCCAACATGGGCCAACAACGTCCAAAAATGGCGATCCTCGATCCTCGATGTTATTCCTTCGTCCCACACACACACACACCCGCGCGCTCGGTGAGATGGACAGGAGAGAGTCCCCTTCGGGCGGGCAGAAGAGGGAGAAGGGAGAAGGGAGGGAAGTAAGCTAGGCGCGCTCGCGCCATATCTGACATCCTACCCCTTCCACCCATCCAACCGCATTGCGCTGATGGATTATTTATCCGCGGGCGCGTGTCATAGCGGACCTTGCACTACGGGAGAAGGACCCCGTCGTGTCATGTGCGGTCGGAGAAGAGGCGGGCCACTTCTTGGCCAACCTTTTGGGGGAGAGAGAGGAGAGCAGCACTCATGTAGAGGAATAGTGGACGGGGAGGGAGCAGCGACGTGCCCTCCCCCCCGCGGGACCCGCCAGCGCTTCTGCGGCCCGCCGCGGCGCTCCCGCCGGCGCCGGGCGTGACCGAGTCGGGCCGCGGCTCGGCCCAAGTGCCGCGCGGGCGGGGGGTGCGCCGGCCCTCCTGCGCGGGCCACCCGAGCGGCCCCGCCTCTCGGGGGAGATGGGCCGGGGGAAAGGACGGGGGAAAGGGGGAGGAGCGATGAGGAGGAGTGAGGAGGAGGAGGAGGAGGAGGAGGAGGAGGAGGAGGAGGAGGAGGAGGAGGAGGAGGAGGAGGAGGAGTAGGAGCAGGAGGAGCAGGAGGAGCAGGAGGAGCAGGAGGAGCAGGAGGAGCAGGAGGAGCAGGAGGAGCAGGAGGAGCAGGAGGAGCAGGAGGAGCAGGAGAGAGGAGGGAGAGAGTGGAAGGGGGCAAGTTAGGCACGCTCGCGCCATATCTGACATCCTAACCCCCCCCTTCCTTCGCTTTCCATTGCGCTGTTTTTCCTCTGTAACTGCCTTCGCGTGTCATAGCGGACCTGGAACTCCAACGGGGATTTCATCGTGTGATGCGCAATCAGAAAGAGTGAGCTGCGCACGTTGAAGGAGGAGGAGGAGGAGCAGAAGGAACAGGAGGAGGAGGTGGCAGACCAGCAGAAGGATAAGCAAAAGAAAAAGGAGGAGGAGGTGGAAGGAGGAGGACAAGGAGGAACAGCAGGTGGAGCTGGAGTGGAAGGAGCGGGAGGAGCACGAGGACCAGGGAAGGGTGGGGGAGGGGAAATGCAGGGGCGACAACCATCAAACATGGATCTAGAAATGTGGCAGGCGCTGGGGCGAGAGCGCCATTCTGACGGACGGGAGCAAAGCGCCGATCCGAACACGAGGCCCGCATTGCAGCGGGAGCACTAATTTGAGACACCGATCACAGTCGGACGGTACAAAGTCATAAGAACGTTCTTCGTCGCCCAATCTTGTTTGCTTTGTCCCAGAAGAGTGCGCGCAGAGAGCGGGGCACATTCCATACATCGATGGTCAGGACAGAGAGGAGAGTACTGTCCAGATTGAGTAGTTGTAGAGGGGGAGAGAGAAAGAGAGAGAAAGAGAGAGAAAAGAACAAGGAGAGGGGGAGAGGGGGAGAGGGAGAAGGAGGAGGTGGAGGACGAGGACGAGGAGGGAAGAGGAGGAGGAGAAGATGAGGTGGAGGGAAGAGGATGATGGGGAGGAGACGGAGGCGAGAGAGTGCCCCCCTCTTTCCTCCCCCTCAGGATCGAGGATCGGGGATCCTCGAATCTCCCTCCAAAAAGTAGATCCTCGATCCTCCTCGATCCTCCCTCCGCCCATCCCCCCCCTGACACATGAGAAGCGCAGCTTTCAGCCGGCCCCGCGGGTGCTGCTCGCTGCAAGGGCGCACTCGCTCACAGAATTGCCCGTCGCTCTCTGACAGAATGCCATGGTTTTTGGACCGCCAGAAGTTTATCTACGTACTTCAAGTGCCTTCACCCCTCAAAGGATCGAATGTCTTTCGTTTCTCTTCTTTTCGATGGGGGTGAGCCGAAACCCAATATGCATAAGAAGCCAATGTGTTAAGAATGAGTAGCTTGCCCAGTGAACCATTTGTATCCTTGCCTCCTCGGCCCATCCTGGCCAGTCTCGCTGGCCGTGCGCCGCTCACAGAGGTTTTTAACTTGGGCGTTCATCGACCCTGCATCCCTACCACGCATCCTCACCGTAGGGTCTCACCTTACTTTCAGCGCCCTCGTACTTGACGCTTCTTTCTGCCCAGTCCTTCCAAGCGACGGGTGGGTCTCTCGGTCGGGCGCGGTGTGAGCGGCGGCGATGACATGGGGGGACCGTGGGCTGCAGGAACGGGGTCCCAGAGGGGCCCGAAAGGGCCCCCCCCTGGGGCCCCGAAGGTGCCCAGGGGAGACAAGAGTGGCAGAAACATTAAAACTCGGAGGTCCGCGCGGATTTCTCGGATCGGCGCTGGGGCCCCCCGGCGGCGCCTCCGGCGCCGCCCCTGGCGCGCTCCGCGCGGGCTCCGAAGGTGCACGAAAGGTGCCCTTCTCTCGGGCAGGACGACAGGGGGGGATTGGGAAAGGGGGGCTTACGTACGAAATTTGCGGCATGCAGCTGGTTTCGGCCTCATGGGGGGCCCATTCCTCGATACATCGCCGCCTCCGGCGCCGGGAAGCGCCGGGAAAATCAGCTACTTACGTGAGCTGATTCTCAACCCCCCCCTTTGCTATCCCCCCTTTCGCCCGACCCGATTTTCTCAGCCCCCCCCCGCGCGCTTTCTTGTAGCCCCCGTTGGGAGCAGCGCCCGGCTCGGCCCGACTGCGGCTCGGCCCGACGCCTCCCGGAGCGCGCCCTGGGGCAGTTCCGGAGGGGAAGAAGCACACAGACACAAGGAGTCGTCGATTCCCCAGAAAGTATGGGAAAATATGGGAAGTGGGGGGGAAGACACAAACCCAGAAACTATGAGGAAATATGGGAAATCTGGCGATTGGTGTGTATTTGTGTGTGTGTGTGCGTGTGTGTGTGTGTGTGTGTGTGTGTGTGTGTGTGTGTGTGTGTGTGTCAGGGCTCCTTCAGCAGTGACTGACCGCGCAAGAGCATGCCCTCCCCTCGCAGGACAGCCACCTGCTGTGGATGATCGGGACGCGGCTGCTGCCGCCGGTGCCTCGGGCGTCGGCGTCGTGCCGCGGCCGCTGCCGCGGGGCCGCGTCGCCGCTGCCAGGGCGCTGCCGCGCCGTGGCGTCTTTGTTTTCTGGCCTGGGGGTCGCCAAGGAGACGCAGGACGGGACGATCGAGGACCGATGTTTTTTGTTTGTGCTGCAGGTGTTCGTTTTCTGGATGCGCTTGGCGGCTTCCGGGTGCCCCCTGAGACTTTCCAGGGGCTTCCGTGGACCTTTTGCGACCTCTGGATACTTCTGGGCCCCTCCGTGGATGCTCCGTGCCCCCAGATATCGTCCAAGGAGGGGTTTCGACGTTGTCCCTCTTGGTTGGGCCTTTTGGTGTACCGTCGTGGCCACGCTTGGGTGCTGCTTGCAACTTGTTTGCGTAACGCACGTGTGATCCCTACCCTGCACATTCCACTTCTTGAAATCCACGTACCTTCTGCTCTTGCCTATCTGCCACCCGCTCTCTTCTCGCAACTATGTGTTCATGCTTTCTGCAATTCTTCACGTATCCCCACCAGCTTCCCCTGGCAGTCAGCAGCGCGCCTGCAGCTCGATTTGCAGCTCTGCCCCCTCTTCGGCTACCTCCTGGTCCCGTTCTGAGTTGCGGTGGTAGGCTTGCTTTTGCTAGGTAATTTTGGACATCGCGCGGCCCGCTCGGACCTTGACACGCCGTCGGCGCGCTCGCCTGCGGCTGGCAACAAAAGAGTATCCCCACCAGCAGACTCTCTGCCTCAGTCCCCGGCGTCGCTCCTCGGCGGCACTTTCGTCGGCCGTTAGTTCGCGCGCTTAGGTAATTTGGTTTGGCTCCCAGCCCGGGCTGAGTTCGGACGCCGCCTGCGCTTCCGCTTGCGGCCGCGACGGAAAAATCCCCACCAGCCCATTCAGAAGCCCTGCCCATGAGAGCGGACGGGAAAAGGGACGAAGAGACACATCTAGGGAAACAGAGCGAGCAACCAGGGTGAACCGAGAGATCTCTGGGAGCAAGGGGGTGGCCTTGGAAGGCCTCTTCGGGCCATCCCTGGGGGCCGCTCGGGGGCGCGGGGAAGAGGAGGAGGAGGAGGAGGAGGAGGAGGAGGAGGAGGAGGAGGAGGAGGAGGACGAGCAGGAGGACGATGTGGACAAGGAGGAATAGGAGGACGCGGATGAGGACGAGGACGAGGAGGACGAGGACTAGGATGAGGACGACGCGGACGAAGATGCATGGAGCCATCTAGAGGTATTCTTGCGGTTTCTGCTGCTTCCGGTGCTCTCTGGGGGTTTGGGGGGCTCTCTTGGAACCCTCTTGGTAACCCTGGAAGGTCTCTTGGGATCATGTTGGAGGCCATCGATTACAGGATGGGGGGTCCACAACTCAGCTCCCCATTCAGGAGCCTGCGAACCGCTTTGGGGGGCTTTCTTGGAGCGCTCTTGGGCGCTCTTGGAGCGGTCTTGGGGCCGTTTGGAGCATCTTGGGGGCCATCTTGAGCCAGCTTGGGCTATTTCAGCCATCTTGGAGGTCATCCTGGGCGCTCTGAGGCCGCTCGGGGGCCTCTTGGGGGCCTCTCGGGTGCCTCTTGGGGCCCTCTTGGGACCTTCTTGGAGCTCTCCTGGGAGCCCTGGAGCGCCTCTTGGGGCCATCTTCGAGGCAATCGATCAAAAGAGGGAAGCTCCCGATCGAGGTCTTCCCTCGGGCGCCATGATCGTCGTGAGGGGTGTCAGAATTTGGCCCTCCCAGGGGCCGAAAAAGGGCCTTCCGGCCACCCGCGACCGCCGCCGAACAAGGCCAGGGGAGGGACAGGGGGAGGGGTAAATCCCTCCCCGAAGGGGAAGAGGTGTTTTTTGGAAGAGGAAAAAACGATATCGTTAGACCACCTGCGCCCGGAGGGCTGGTGGGATGCTTCACGCTTCGCGTATCCCCATAAGGTTGCAGTCCTGTCTGTGACGAGGCTGCCCCCTCTTCGCTCCGGCGCCGACACGATGCTGTTGTGTCACCTACGGCACGGATGTCGCCTTGGAGTGCCTGTCGGATCTGCTCGTTTTTGTCGGGCCCTATGCCAACCCACGCCGTGTGATCGACCTCTGCGTGTTCATGGTCGCGCCGCCGCGCCACGTTGGCTGCGCCTACTTGATGGTCGCCACCGGGATTTCAACGCCACCGGGTTGGGAGTGCTGCTCCTGGTGCTCCTTCTGAGTGGCTACCCGCGTGTTCGCTTCGCTTGCCCCTCTCTTTTCTTGCTGCCTAGTCGCGGCCCGGCTAGTGATCGGACGGCTTTCGACTTGCTGCGCGAGCCCGCAGACTAAACATATCCCCATAACCCTCTGCGTGTTCATGGTCGCGCCGCCGCGCCATTTTGGCTGCGCATACATGCTGGTCGCCACCGTGGTTTCCACGCCACCGGTTTGGGAGTTTCGTTTCTGGCTCTTTTTCT